CCGCCGCGGCTGGCCTCACCGTTTCTCATCCCCGCGCCCACAGCAGCCCGGCCTCCCTCCAGCAGACGTACGCGTCGGCACAGCAAGCGCCGCAACACGCGCCGCAGCCGCACGCGCGTCACCACCATCATCAGAAGCAGCGCAGCTACGACGTCATCAGCACGGTCGACGACCTGGGCCCGCTACCGCACGGATGGGAGCAAGCGCGCACCCCCGAGGGCCAGATCTACTTCCTCAAGTAAGTCACTCTCCGCGTCACGTCGCCTCGCGTCGCCTCGCGTCGCCTCGCCTCGTGTCGCGTGTGTCATCGCGTTTTCGTTACGCGACTCGAGACTACCGGGCGAGAAAGAGGAAAAGGGGAGGTATACGAAATCTATGAAACTTTTTTCTGAATATCTATTTCCCTCATATATATATGTATATATATATTTTTTTCAAACTCTTATACTCACATTTTTTTTTTAATCAACGATGTATCTGGATTTGTTACTATTTTAATTTTTCGAACCAATAATGTATAGATTATGTGCACACAAAAAGTAGCGTCTGAAACCTTCGGGTTGATCTTACAACAGTAGATTCTTCTCTAAGTACCTGACAGGAACAGGTAGAATTTTCTTGAGATTAGGAAGGTTTTATGTTGTGTGTTCTGCTTTAGTCCATTAGACGTTATTTTATCGCTAGTGACAATAATATCTTTTGTCGAAACTTCATGTATCTTAATGCTGAAACTGTCTTTATCGTCGTATCGGCTTACTCATCCTGTCTCTCTCTCTCTCTCTCTCTCTCTCTCTCTCTCTCTCTCTCTCTCTATCTTTCTTTGCTCGTTTGTTCGAGACTCCTGCCGCTTCTCATCACTCGAAGAGGAAAAGAAAGACGGTCTTTCCGTTAAATCTAAGCCTCTCTTTCTGCCAACGTCCCTTGCCCTCGGAGCTGAACAGGGATATCACAGCACTCGGTCACGTAGTACATACATACCGGTGTGAATGCGCTAATTAGCATATTCAGGTAAATGGATGTCATTATTGATGCAGGAATTTTAAGAATTTTGGAAAAAAAATCGTACATGAAAACAGCTTGGTATACATTATAATTTGTCCTGTACGGAAAGAACGGTTTTGCTGAATAATCGAAAAATTTAACTAGACGTAGATTTGAGAATAATTTTATTAAACTATCGAAATAAATATGTATGATGTTCAAGCTGGTTGCTAGAATTTTCTACAGCATTATGCTTAAGTTTTCTACATAATTATTTTGATAATCCAACAAAATTACTTTTTAGATTTGTATCTAGCTAAATTTTAGATATTTTTGTATATATTTTCTACTGAACAGACAAATGGAAAGAAGTTTTGAGAGCGGTAACTTGTGATAAAATATATACAGCATATGCTCTCTTTCTTTGTTTATTTCTTTCTCCTCAAGTAAAATTTTAAATTGACTTTAACGGAAATATATACATTATTTACTCTTTTATATTTTTCAATATTACAAATCTTTTGTAACTAAAATTTTTTTAATGCAAAATTAATCTGAAATATTAACTGAAAAGTTAGAAAATTCTATCATCAAAATAAAAAACTCTGCCATATAGATACAGAGGAAAGGCTCCTATTTTGAGATATCGAGTTTATTTTGGGTAAATGCTAGAAATCTATGGACAGAATTAAAAAAAATAATAGGTCATTTTGAAAGGAATTTAATAAGCTTTAAGATAATGTTACGTAAAATTTAATTCAAATTTTATTTTTTTATACATTAAAGAAATGTAAAAAGTGAGCAAATCGCAAAGTCAAAAAATTGTGCTCCTAATATGAGATGTCCCGAGAAATCGATAATAAAATGCAAAGTACATCAGTATTGCAATTAAAAAACTTTATTTAATGTTTCTAAAATACAAATAAACTCAGCTAGTACACGTGCAAAATGAGTATGCGATGCATTGTATCTGCACTGACTCGTTTTCAGGTAGTTGGAACCAAGCATCGCAGAAACTCGATGTTTATCTCAAGTGTCCTTTTTGTTATTATACAATAACATTTATACTTTAGCAACGATTTTCATTATGACATAGAAGCATAGGTTATTTCATATTAGAAATACGCTGGGTATCTCATATTGCGATTTTCACGCCTTACGGTTTTATGATCATCAAATCTAACGTCTGTAATTAAGCAATTCAACATATCACGTATTTTTCTATTAATACGATCTTACTCTATCACCACATGAAGAATTTATTGTCAAATATTTATTTATTAAATAATAAGCAAGGTTTAAAAGCTCATCTCAACAAAAAGAAGGCATCTAAATTTTAAAATCTTTTTTTGCAACGACTACAGGCACGATCTATGAATTTAATCACGATAATGAATTTTCCACTGAATAGTTTTCCATCTAAGAACAATAAATTCATTCAACTCATAAATAGCGTTCATTAGTTTAGCGGAAACGCTGCTATTTCATATTAGGCGCTTATCTCATAATAGGGGGCTTTCCTCTACTTGTTTCAAATTTTCACGAATAGTCTTTTCGCAAGTATTTCGCTTTTAACTCGAAAAACTACTCGAGATACTTTTTCTCCAAGAAAAAGTAAATTTACCAGAAAACCTGTCCTTGGAAATAATTTTATGGATTTTAGGATTGTTTATGTCACGTCTCTCTGACGTGATGATCGTTGCAAGCGGTCACGATTTCCAGGCTGTAGGATAAGGCTCGAGAAGGACCCTTTAGGTTCGCCTCTGAGGTTTAGTCTCTTGAACGCTTCTGGTGGTATGCCTGGGCCTCCCACCAAGCATCTTTGCTTCCCAACCTGATTCACCTGCACAGCCGTGACTGCCGGGTCCTCACGTGTCACCTGTCGTGGGAGTCTCCGTCGTATATCTCGCTTCATCCCTTCCTTCCCTATTTTAATAATCCCTCCTTATCTACTTTAATACATGGTCGACATACTGTTTTAAATCTTGATATTATCTTCACTGGCATCACCTTCATCTCTGAAATTAGCGAAATCTTATATATGGAACACATTCCTATTTTTGATTGTCTAGACCAGATACGTCTTTTTATAAACTAGATCCGTCTGACAGCTCTATTAAATATTCTTAAAAGAATATAAATAATAAAACATTTACATTTTTGTATTTAGATTTATAGATTTATAGATTGCGTATTTGCAATTTCTTATTTTAATTTATTTGTAATTACGTTTTATTTTTAAAATATTATAATATGTCGAAAGAGTTGTATTAAGTAAAGAAATGAATATTTATTTTCGCATATTCGCAGTTTTTGTGTTTGATATTTTTATCGTAATTATGATACTATTATAATTATTATACTTTTTTTCTGAATATTATGGTTGTTTTTTTTTTATTAAGAAGACGGGATTGATTTCAAATCAGTAAATGCATCGTTAAGCTCACAAAATTCTAAAATATACTACATATATACGTTTGTTATTGATTCATTAGTTTAACTATATAATAATTTACGATAATATAAAACGCTCGATTATTTGACAAAGCAAAACTTGTCTTGTTATTTTGCTTTGTTAATAATTTACGACTTTAAATGACGATTTAAAATTTGTAAAAACAACTTTATTAATCCTTCAATTTTTGCAAAGTTTAAATTAAACTGTTTGAACTTTTGCTTGTAATTTAGTTTTAAATTTTGAAATTTACTGAAAATATTCCTGTATGCTACTCTTCTTTTCTTAAATCTTGTCTAAACATGTCGAAAACCAACGAGAAGATAGGCTCCCCTTTACCTGGTTATTCAAGAAATCTTACCTGGTCAACTATTTATGCTCGTTTTCTACCTGATATTGAAAAATTGAAAAAGAACGTGCTTCTTTCGAAAGGATACATCTCAACGTCTTTGTAAACGACTAATGCAAGCTAAGTAACAGTTTCTTTTTAAAGAAAGAAAAAAACAGGAAACGCAGAATTTTCTTAAAGCAAAATCCAGTCATATAAAGGGGTCTTCTCTTTCATCTTTTTGTAAGATATTGTTTAAAATTTTGATTTTTTTCATCCTCTTTTATTTGCTTTTCTGATTTTTTCTGAGTTGGACCAAAATCTACACGAATCTCGTTACATGTAGTAATGTTATATTAGCGATATGTTATTTCAGATTACGATATAAATATCATAAAACTTGATAAGATAGATATCACCATTCATAGACAACTTATCGCCATTTATAGACAATTACTAATTTATAGACAACTTATCGTTAAGATATCAAGTAATTTAAGGGAAAACGAAACCAATGGATTGATTGTGTTCTAATTACGCTCTGAATTTTTGCGTTTACCTTCTTATCAACATTTGCTGATATATTATCGCATGAAAGGGAAATCAATGGGAAATGATCGAATGGATTAAACGCGCAGTGATTCATTTTTACGAAGACGCTCATTATTTTAAATACGTTAAACAAAGGTATTTACAAATTTTTTTTATTTTTAGGATTTTTAAAGAAAGTGCAAATTAACGAATCTCGTGAATGTTATATGAATTCGTAAAGATGTACCTTGTAAATTAGTATTAGGAAACGGCTTATTGGAGAACAGATTATTAGAAAACAAATAATTTGCATAAAGGAAATAAGAAGGTTCGGCGTGCATTACGTTGGAGTCTACCGTATGTTACGCCACTAATTTTTCCTGCACCAATTTACGCGTTTATGCGCGAATTGAAAGTACCTTCCTCCTGTTCCCGCGTTCATTCCCAATACGGGAAGTAGAACACAAAAGCACACGAAAGGAAGGAAGTGGCTTATCGCACTTTAATAGCTAATGATTAATTATTTATTTCATTATCGACAATCATCGCTGTATGTATATTTCACTCTTGTTCTTATCGGAAGCCATCAAGGCTCTTTACACTGTAACCATATTAAATTATGATGTTCGAAGTTATGCGCATTTTTTTGCAATGTACATTAAAATTGATTAAAATAAATAATTCTTTTAATATTTCATCACACGTAGTTTCTTCGTGTCATCCTCGTAACAATGAATCTGAAAACTTACTCTGAAAAGAACGTAGGCGTGCCTCTTTTTTTGCCTTGTTGAAGTTCAGTTTTTCGAGTCTAACGCGCACTCTATTTTCTACGGAACGTCGGCGATTTTTGCGGAAACAGAATGCAGAGCTCGTTTTTTTTTTTTGGTAGGCGTAATACGAGGAGCAGCGAGCGTGAGCTCGTCGGTAAAGCGCGATGCAAGGT